CTGCTCTCTGCAGCACACAGGCCCTGGCCCTGATGGAGGGGACTGGGGCCACATCCACATCCTCAGGCTGCTCCCTGCAGCACACAGAGCCCTGGTCCCACGTCCTCAGGCTGCTCCCTGCAGCATACAGGCCCTGGCCCTGATGGAGAGGAGTGGGGCCACATCCACATCCTCAGCGCCCTGGCCCTGATGGAGGGGAGTGGGGCCACATCCACATCCTCAGCACCCTGGCCCTGATGGAGGGGAGTGGGGCCACACCATGTCCTTAGGAAGCCTGAGACACAGTCCTGATTCTGGGGGCTCTGCTACTTTAGGGACGATATTCCACTTCTGTGGTTCAGAGTCCCCCCTGTATAAATGAGATGATTTCTGAGATCACTTTTCAGCCTGAACCCAGTAAACAACCTGCCCTGAGGGAGTGAGGTCTGTTTCTTAGCACTGTGTCCACAGGCATAGCGGGAGGGACGTCTAGATGGGGAATAGAGGAAGTGATGTGTGATTCCATCAGGATAAAGGAAATCTCATTAGAATGCCATATGGTGTGATCCTTCCCCAAGAGAATTTTGGGGATAGGCTGCGCCTTGCCTTCCAGAAGCTTCTAATCACAGTCCTATCACCAAGGTCCCTGCATGTCCACATGCGGTAGGCACCAAGCTACAGCACAGTGCAATCAGTGGTTCTCCAAGTTCATTCTCTGCTTTGAAATGCTTTCTCTCCTGGACTAAAATTCTTCCACCTGGTATGAGGTTTTGAACTATGGTATAGAATTTCTCAAGATGCAAATACTCTGGAAACAGTAGAGGAGGAAGACAGTCATTATTACCCCAGTGAGAAAGAGTTTAACAGAAAATTCAACTCACCAGGACAGGAAAAAAGCCAAAAGGGAACAAGACTGGATCATGTGATAGATGGGGAATGAGGACCGGGGTTTAGATGGAAAGAGGCCTGGGGGAGTTGGCAGCGCCACACGGGGGACCTTTTGGTTGTTTGGGGGGTGGTGGGGAGAAGTATAAGGGCAACACATGTTCTGAGGGGCAGAGGGGACAGCGGTTTCCAGAGAGCAGTTAATAACCCTGAAAAGGCAGGGGAAGATGCCACAGCCAGTCCCTCACCAGGGCCGGCTTCCCCACGAGGCACAGCAGACACAGTGCCCAGGGCCTACGATAGTCTTAGTGGCCCACAAAGATGTATTATTTGAAAACAGTCGGGGGAAAAATGAGCTTTTAGAGTAAGTGTTTTAATAAATGATATTTATCTTCATGCCACCATAGTTATAAAACATAATTCTGAATATTTTTTCAAAGAAGAAGAGGCACTCAAAGACAAGAGTGCCTGAGGCCCAGGGACCCTCTCGCTGTGCGCTGAAGGCTTATTTTAGGTGGCCCTCTGTGGTGCAGAGGCTTGTTTAACCCTTTCTCACAGCTCTCGGAAACCTGTATTTTTACGCTCATTTCCCAAGTAAAGAAATGGAGGCTCCAGATGTCAAGATTACACAGTCAGCACAGGGAGGCAGGACCCCAGCACAGGTCTGTCTGGTTCCAAAGTCCTAATTCTGAGTCACTCACCACACAGCTCCCTTCCCTTCCAGCCTTCACCTTGGCACATGTTGGCACTGAGCTGGACACTGTG